CAGACGCGCCGAGTGGGGGCACGTGTCGTACCTTTGAAATTTTATTTGCGCGATTTCTTGTCGGATGATTCATCTTTTGAACATTAATGTCGAGTGAAACGGTGAAACCATTCCCATGGCGTCTGTTCGTGTTAAATAGCCCTGAACAGCTTAGCAGACGATGGGCTCAGCTGGGCACGGGTGCATTTGCTTACTCTCGCCGGCCATATTTGCAACTTGGTCCGTAACAGGCGCTGACACGCATAAAACACAACGCTCGCACGTGCGTTATATAACGATTCAGGTGGTTGTATGTACCCTGTGGGCCAGGTCATAAGCGGGCCCAGGGATTCCCTTTAGGGGGAGGGGGAGCAAAGGTTCTTTGCAGCGCCATGTTAAGTCAATATATGAGGCAGACATGAGCCCCCTTCTCTTAACACCTCCCCCCTCTCCCCCCACGGGCCCCACCACATGTCAGGAAGTGGATGTGTTAACTTTGGTATAAGTATCGTGGGGAATCTGGTACGCTTACAGGTTGGTTCTATAGGACGCACGGAGGCGGCGCGTCTTGTCCGTGTAGCGTTTCGCATGTTTCCAGATGACGTCATATGAGGCATTTCAGTAAATAATTTCAGTTAGTGCCCAGTTGAACACCTATGATTCTGCGAGTCATGTTAAATTTTTGCATGGAAGAAGTCGTATCTCAGGGCCAAAGTGTACGCGTGATTTTCAGTTGTTGCTGTGCGCGTATTCTTTTCGATCAAAGTAAAGCGACTTTCGATCGATGCTCGTGCAAGCGCAGGCACTTTGTGCGGTCCGATGCATTTTTATTCCTTCAGCAAAATGACCGGCTGCCGTCATTCAGTGTATCGAGGCCGACAGAAGGCATTCGCTTTGCAGGAGGCTCAATTTATCCTATTTGCTATTGCCATTTCATGCATGGTATACATCCGCGGATGTGCACGTAGAATGTACCGGCCTAACTGTTTTCATGCGTGCGAGTTGACCAGTATCGCACTGTTAATTTGATATGCACTCAAAACTGCTCCTACCGTAAAAACACGGTTGACATTTTCGACGCGTTGTTCGAATACGATGAAAAACGCACGATAACCGCAGGAAGTACACAACTCGAACACGATTGGCGTTGTGTTTTACCTTTGGTTTTCGTGAGTCTGTCTTCGTGTTCAAACAGCGCGTCACAAATGTCAACTGCGCACAACCGACTACTCCACCCTCGTAGCCTAAGAAGGCGGCGTTAGAAAAACGGCTTGGTCGTCTGCTAATTCTAATTAGGCTTGTGTCTAAAAGAAATAGCCCTTCAATTTCACCTCTTTTGGTTATTTGCTAATACAACTGATCAGGCATGTAGGTGGTTAACGTTTGATATGGGCCTTCAACAGAGGTCAGAATGTCGAGTGGGAGAGATTAAGGTGAGTGAGAAAAAAAAATGATCTTCATAGCGTGAACAAAACAGCGCGAAATACGGAACACAAACACGCAAAAAAAAAAAAAGGAATACGCAAACGAGTCCTTCGTGCTGTTTCGGAAACGAAACATTATCGGCTCTTGTGCAGCCCTAAAAGAAAGTCGGGGGAATTCTAGGTTTCGGCTGAAGAGAATCCCGCAGGCGGCAAGAGCATTGCGCAGATGGTTCCGCCGCCACCACCCAGCACCCCCTTCAACATCTCTTCGCGCGATTGTTGTGAACGGGCGGGGTCGTTTTTGCGGCGGCGGCGGTGTGTGCTTTGACGAGACGCAGCCGGGGAACAACGAAAGACGAAACAGGCCAGCGCTCAAATTGTGTTTATTTACTATGGTGTTCGTTCTCTTCCTACTCGCCGGTCTTCGCTACTCGCTGTATTCACGACGTTCGGTTTTCTTTAATATTTATTTCGCCGAGCTTGTTTCAAAACAGGTTTGAACTTCGAGTCTGTCCGTAACAGCTGTAACGAAAAGAAGACACGAGTCGATGGATACTAGCTGGAACGGCCGGTTGATTGATGTGCCGCCAGGCCTGTAACTTTCGAACTTGCCGTTACTTTTCTTGGTCGTGCAGAAAGAGGTGCTAAAGGCCGCGTGTTCCGACAGGCTCGTACGTTCATCAGGCACGCATGTTTCAATACATCGAAAACAATGCCGGTTGTACCGTGAAATTAATTCCATATCCTAGGTACAGCAGTTTGTGTTAACCATGCATTTACCACGAAAATTCATTCTGCTGTAATATATCGTTTGTTTCCGGCCTTCGAGCCATGGCGGGGGGTGTCGGACGAGGTTGTACACTAGTTAATAAAAAAATCAAACAAAGCTTCGGTTGTGTAGCGTTACGTTGCTCGGCTGCTGGCCGTAAGGTTGTGGGTTCGAGCACGGCCGCGTCGGTTGCATTATTATTATTATTATTATTATTATTATTATTATTATTATTATTATTATTATTATTATTATTATTATTATTATTATTATTATCTGATATGTCTTCTTTTTCGGGGTACATGTTCGAAAATTTTTGTTATAACGTTGATTATGAGAGACGCCATTTTGCCCCGCCGTGGTGGTCTAGTGGCTAAGGTACTCGGCTGCTGACCCGCAGGTCGCGGGATCAAATCCCGACTGCGGCGGCTGCATTTCCGATGGAGGCGGAAATGTTGTAGGCCCGTGTGCTCAGATTTGGGTGCACGTTAAAGAACCCCAGGTGGTCGAAATTTCCGGAGCCCTCCACTACGGTGTCTCTCATAATCATATGGTGGTTTTGGGACGTTAAACCCCACATATCAATCAATCAAATCAGACGCCATTTTCGACCACCAGTTTTTTTTTTTTAACGTGCACCTAAAACAGTACATAGACCTCAAGCATTTTCGCTTCCATCGAAAATGCAGCCGCCGCGGCCATGATTCGATCCCGACACCTACATTCGATAATTAAAGAACGAGGAGGGTCAGTACATCTGGAACTCTCGCCTTACGCCTCATCATGGAATATGCCAATCTCCTGTGCCTCCTCCATTAGTAAACGTACCAATATGCGCATCGTGTAGCAATATGCATGCAGTCTCCATCCGCACTTCCCACTTCTTCCACTTTGACTATCTGAGCGTCGTAATGTTGTTGAGGGTTGTAACTGGAGAGGTGATGGGTTATTGCACCTCCCAAGATATTGTTTTAGATTTCATGTTTATTTTGAAAACAGTTAACATAAGGTAAACAGTTATTGACTTGAACGCGCTTGTTCTGTAAAGCGATACTTCAAAACACAATGTGCGGCCCAATGCTGAAGCTTATGTCACATGTAAACGACAAAATGGTGTCCTGTAGACGCGTATGTTTTCCTCGCTACCTTCTTGAGAGTGGTCTTTCGATAAGGCACGCCCCAGATCACGCTTAATGAAACGCTGCCGCTTTCACAGTGCGGCGTTTTCAGCGGCGGCAACAGGATTTTTGGCGAGGCACCCACAAGCGAGTTCCTTCGGAGAGGCTGGGAACATTGCGTTGTTTTGAGTATGCTTGCTCTTCGGGAAGGAAGCAGCAAAAGGCGGGAAGGCGGACATTTCGGCGGGAAGTAAAATGTTCTTGAAAAAAAAACTATTTTTATTATTTAATTTCAGCAAAACACTGTTTCATTTGAATCTCGGGAAGGAGCCTCCTCCCCTTCCCCCCTTCCTCCTATGGCTACGGGCCAGGCGCCTTTACTATAGGTCCGTTCGATTCACCTGCACCAGTCGGAACCGGTTCACGGCTGTGCACGCGAAGTTCAGAAATTGTGCAGCGCGAGTTCAGTGGTGCAGGCACAGCGTGACCCCCGAAACGAATGACGATGTGCCAACAAGGTGCAGGCCTTATTTCTGTTCGCTTAATTTACACTGTTCAGTGAACACTGAACGATGGCGAACCGCACATGTGGACAGTTCATGAGGCGCAAACATCTTGGCAAAACACACCGCGTTAGTAGAGGCGGGTACGGCGCCTACGCCACCTACGTCTAAGTGCTGCGTCGTCTGCTCAGCTGCACGCGCGCCTGCACCAAGGCGGCACCGTCAGCGAAGGAGGTGCAGGAAACTCGTGAACCGGTGCTGCACCTCTTCTGCACCTTTCGAAACGAATGGCAGGGTTCAGCGGTCGTCATTGCTGCACCGCTGAAACGAATGGTAAGGTGCAGCACCTCGTGAACTGGTTCACGTGGTGCAAGCGAATCGAACGGACCTTATGTTCGCAGCCTTGCCGACAGTGAAATTTGTAAGGTGTAGTGCGAATTGTGACTTCCGCCATGAAAGCTTCCTCCATGCTTCATCTGGAGAAACGAACATCGCACGCGCAATAATGCTTCAAGGTTTCTTCCCGAGGGCTAGTAGCTAGCGCCGCCGTGTCTAATCTTAGAAAAAAAAAAAAAAAAGCGGCCGACAAGTGCGCGCCCTGGTAGGTGTTCTGTGTGCGCGCCCTGCGAATACCACGTGACCTGCGCGCACTTGCAGAGTGCGGCAAGTGATTTCGCGCTCGTTCGCGTTCGTAGAGAGGAGCACGGAGGCTGACCGCTGCAGGTTAGTTTGTATGAAACTACGTGCTCGCCTCCCGTGTTGTGTTGTGCCGTTTCGAGACACGTCCTTAAATGTTGAGTATCGTGGTGGTGAGTTATTGTGCGGTTACTGCTGGAAGCATACGTTCTTTGCTCGTTGTTAGCGCGTCCTTGGCCTGTCAGAACAAACGCTAGGCCTCAGCTGTGCTCGAGACCATGGCTACCTTCTCTGCGGCGCGTTCGACATGAAAGAGTAGCCAAATGCGAAGCCTTTGTCGCCCAATCATTGACAACCTTTGCGTTTTGCACAGCGTAAACGCATTTTTCATTAGCTTGAACTGAACCAAGTTAACCGACGGGCAGTGTTAGCGCGTACTTGTCAAAAACGGAACACGTGGTTAGCTGTGGCACTCGGACGATTGTATTGGCGGCAGTATGTTTTCTTTATGGATTTTTGAACCATTGCCTTATCGCAGTTCCTACTCGATGGACGCCCTGAAGCGTCCAGTCGCATGGTTGTCATATTCTTACGGTGAAGCATTGCGAAAAGCTCGCCGCGTTTCTTGGCGCTTCTTTGTGCGGGACCCATTCAGTCCCGTTTCCCTGTTTTTATTGAAATGAATTACGTGTGTTTTTTCTGTTGCAGGAGGCTATGGCAGACTCGCTCAGTGGCTACACGGCGGGAGGTTTCGGGTAAGCTCACTTGTTTATACTAACGTCAGCTTTATTACGGTACGCAAGACGCCGCCGCAGACCATGAAACAGTTTTCTTTGTTGTTTTGACAGTGCTTCCTCAAAACAGGAAGTTTTGTCTGCCGTTGTTTGTACATTTCTTCTGCAGGGGGTCGGAATGATTGTCTGGGTCTCGGTTCGTTATTTTTCTTTACTTTGCTCGGAAAAATTCGGTGGCTGCACCCGTTTTCACCGGGATTTATGGGGTAGCGAGCTCTGTAGTTTCGGAATGGTCGGACTGCGAGCAGTGAGGGCGTAATCGTGTACCGTTCTGACCTGTGTTAACGGTTGTCAGATAAGGAGGGCAATGGAGGTAGTAGGCTTGGCGCCGTTTTGTTTGCGTTCGCCTTTGGTATCTGCGTATTTTATTGTAGCTAAAAACGTCCGGTCAGGCTCCTAATTCGTACGGCAACCTCCGACGCCCGGTTTAGTACTGCCGTAGCAGTACGTGCATTCGGCGTCTCGGAGGGAAGAAAAAAACTCCGGCCCAGCTAGAGGCGCGAAGTGGTGTAGTCGCCTCAACGGACGTGGCGCCAGTTATTTGAGACGTCGCTTGTATCGGTGCCCGTGCAGGAGGCGCCGTCCCCAACTTCACACCTTGCGTCTTTTGTTTTTCGTCGTGGGAGCTTGTATTAGCATTGGTTAATAAGAAAGCTAGTTATGCATATTGGTGGGTTGGTTGTCTTGGGAACTGGTTGGTGTTTGGGAAGTTCATCATACAACATAATTTTCCCATCTTGGTGATCTTGCTGCAGCTGTGCCTACAACTGTGTTAGCCTGTTGCAAAAGAACGGCCTGAGTGATGTTTTGCTTTAATTTGAGTATGTAGGCTGGCAGTTCATCAGTTTCTTCGATACGGTGTTTAGTAAATTGCACACTAGCCCTGTGCAACAAGAAAACGCAAGAAACCAAATAAAGGAAAGGCAGGAGACATCATCATTTACTTTTAAGGGCTCCTCGTGGAGCATTACTTCAGGGCGGGTTGTAACGATAGGTAACTGGGGGTGACAAGGAGGCATAAATACTGGTTGGAAAAACAAAGCAAAAATGCAAGAAAAAAGAAAACAAGAAAATTAGGAGGCAGACACTCTCAAAGAACAGGGCTGCTATTCAAACTGCTGATAACAATCACATGTCACAAAGTGCATTCCAATCTGATATGGCAGTCGGTAGAAATGCGTAGTTGAGGAAAGTTATAATACAGTTTATGGAAAAGGCAGAGACTTGCTATTTTGTGATGGGATGACAGAGGGGTAAGACGAATCGAAGTTTTTATCTTAGTGATGCAGAGTCTAAATTGCAGTTCGGTTTTGTATTGCCTATAACTCCTGGATTAGGTACTCTTGATGGGGGTTCCAGGTAAAGGATGCGTATTCAAGTTTAATGTGTATGAATGTTTCGTGTGCCATTTGTCTTAACTGCAGGCAAAGCAAATGTAAGTGACAGTCTGATAAAACCTAATCTACAAACCCTTGCAGAAAGTGATGTGGTATGTTCTGACCAACTTAAATTATCAGATTTATACGCTGAGGTACCTATAAGTAAGATTCCACCTGTGCTAGCTTAGCATTGTTTATCGTGTAGGTGATGTTTCTTATGGGTGACGTGCATGAAATTGCATTTTGATACATTTAACTGCATGAGCGAGATCGAGCACCAGTTTGGATTAAGGTTAAGTCATCCTGCAGTAACGCCCGATAGTTCGTAGTAGAGAAATATACGTCTGTACAGAATGCAGTCATCCACGAACAGATGGCTGATGAAATTTGAGCAGGAAGGTGATTGATAGATTAGGAACAGAAGCGGGCCAAGAACGGAGTTTGTGTTAAAATTGTATTACCATTCAATGGTGAATGGAAAAAAGAATGGCTTTGCATGCATAGTAACTCTTTTGCAAATGGTCTATCGGCTTCTCTCCTTCTGGCAGTGTTCTTTCGTGGAGAAGAGGTTAAGCAAGGAGTAGGTGCGTACTTGCAGGCATAGCAAGATTCTTCAGCTGATGTCTTGACCAAATGTGAAGAAACTTAATGATTTGTAGAGGAGCACAGGCTTTTTTAATAAAGCATTTCAGGGGCACAGCATGTCAATCGTCCATCAGTTTTGCGTGGCGCAATTATGCTCGCAGTAAACATCGGCTGTGAAAAGGCTGGCAATGCTCAAAACTCGGTTTAATTGAACAAACAGGTTCTCAAATAATTGCATGACCCCTCTACTTTCCGTGTTTCACTGTTGCTGTGCTTATCCGATACTGGAAACATCCTGACAGAATGTGTTGCAGACGAGGCGTATAGAATGTATTAACAAGCAGGAAGGCAGACTCTGCAGACAGTGGTGCACATGTTGTCCACAGGGTCGAGTATTCCTGCGAGATTCTGCACGTTGAGGAAACTTCCCTCTTCTACGCTTTATAATCATTGACTGCTTTAGTAAACAGAGCAGTGGGAACTTTCCCGTGTGACGCGCTTTGTCAGCTTGCACAGTAATGCAGCCGCCATATCTTTTTCTCTGTGGCACACCTGCAGTGTGTGGTGCTGTCGGAATTGTGTGGTGCCATTTGGAATTTGGTGTGTGTGTTCAATTGAACTGGCAAAAAAACAAAACATATGCACTGTGAAGAGTTGACTAGTTGTTTACCGGTATCTCACAAAATGCATGACAGCAACTTGCTACTGCAGGTCGTGGTGGATTTTTCAAGCATTCTCTTAGTGTGGCTCTACAACTGACGTTTTCAGAGAAACCCTTGTTCCTGTTGCTGTGCCCTTCCTCATTTACTTGGATCCTTTGAGACGTAAGGTAGAAAAAATGGTTTTATGATAGGGTATGCCGGAAACCACATGTTTGAAGTTGTTGTACCATGAAGCTGATGGGGAGGCTTCCTATTTACAGTTTGGGCCGAGGCCGCGGTGCCGCCAAGCCTGTGACAGGAGGAGCACTAGCCACAAGGCAGCCTGGTGAGTTAATACCATTTGGGGTTTCTCTTTTTATCCTACTGCTTCCAAGAAGCATGGCTATAATGGGCTTTCAGAGGCAAAAACTTCAAATCATGTGAGCTTTCCATGAGATTGTGGTGGTGGTGCACACTTTTCTGCTTGTAACTTAACTTTGCTTCCAGAATGCACGAGGTGTAAGCTGGAGCAGTTGCTAGATTACCATAGTTTTTTGCGATAGGGTTGTGGTAGGCCATCTGCCTAGAGCAGTGTAGGTATGAAGGCATTTGAGGGCAGTGCTGCTTATAATTGGGAAATATAATCATTAGTGCTCTTATATGCTTTGTAATTAATGTTAGCATCATTATGGCAGATTTTGGAGTCTCTATAAACTGCCGGCCCAGACCCATCATTCCCATGGTCGCTGAACGGTCGCAGCACCAGAGTTCCCTCTAGTTATTTTCAGGAAATTTTATGGGACTCAGCTACCGCAACTCTGCCATCTTGGGCGGGCCTCCCGGAGCTATAACGGTGATGTCAAGAGACTTTACAAATTTGTACGAGCACTCATGCTTGGTTCAAATGGAAACAAGGCATCGTTTGCCACCAATAATGAGCATGTACTTATACAGAGCAGTTAAAATGAGGAACATCAGAGTTAGCGATTTCGTTGTTCAGGATCCTTTAACTATAAAGTAAGGAAACATCTTTCTAGATTAAGAAATGTATCTTAATTTTAAATCTGCCTCGATTTAAAACTGGCTCGTAGTGTCATTATCATGTGATTGCCTTCGCAGTAATTTGTAGCAGAATATAGTTCAAAGGTGGCTTTGAAATGACCTGCTTTCCTGGATTAGTCATGGTTGTTAGCAGTATTAGTAATTTTTTTAAATTTAACAATCATAGTTAATAGAGAGAGCTTGTGAATTTTGATGAAGCTGCAAACGTCACCTGGCAGAGTTGGTTGCAGCAGTGTCATCCGGGTCATCTCATCGCATTTAGGATGACCTTGGCCATGTTCCTACCAACATGTGACCAAAGATTATTGCTTCTCACTGTGTGGCTGGTTTCCCCAGCATGGTTCTTCAGTTGAAGGCTAAATTCATTCGAACGCACCAGGCTGCTGGAGGAAAGTTTTCAGTGTTTTCAAGTTGAAAGGGTAATCTTAATTGTACAGCTGTTTTAGTGTTATTGTGACCGATAGTTGAGATGTGGAAGCTCATGAAATTCATGTGCATGCCAGTATCTCTGCTGGCTGCGCCATTTGTCCTCTGCCGGGCGCAACTCGATCGCCAAGTTCTGCACAACAATTAAGGAGATGCTACCATGATTTAAAAAATAAAAAATGCGAGCAGTGAGATGTCCACGCATTTGCTGTTGCAGCATTTTTTTAACAGTTGTAGCCTGGCTGGTAATGAATAATCGATAGCCACTCATGGTACATAAATTTTTTTTAATAGCTGCACAAATAAACTCACATTTGTGCAAACAGCAACGGCGCACCGCTGCGGCGGTCTAGTGGCTAAGGTACTCGGCTGCTGACCCGCAGGTCGTGGGATCGAATCCCGGCTGCGCCAGCTGAATTTCAGATAGAGGCGGAAATGATTTAGGTTCTGATTTGGGTTCACGTTAAAAAACCCCACATATCAATCGGACAGTCATGGCGACCAGTTTGCGGATATTGTAGTGTTGCGCGCCATGCAGATGCACACTTTTTGAACAACGATTATCGCACCCCACTTAGCAGCTGTCCAATCCTCCTTGTACGAAGTCTCGTGTAAGTTTGTCTGGTGCAGCCCGATTGTCCGTTACATGTTGGTTCGTCAAAGCGAAATTCACTTCATCAATTCAATATACAGACCAAACATGGCAGAATAATGTTCTGTTGTATCCGAATGTCTGCTGTACGCAGATCTGTTATGATTGTAGACTGTACATGCAACTAGCTCTATAATGGGGATGCTGCGACTCTGAAATTCTTGACAACTTTTGAGGCCTCCGTACCACTAATGCATAGAGGGCCCTCCGGGAAGAGTTGCCTTTGATTGCAGCCACATTGTGAGAGCACCTTGCCGCTGCAGGTGCTGACCCGGCAAACAATGGCTGGGGGACCACAACCACCTCGACAGACTCCTCGGGGTGAGTATGTCGTGGTGTTGATGCTCGTATGCCTGTTGCATATTCTCTCTTTGCCTTGCTTTGGGAATGTGTATGCACAATGAATGAATTTACAGGAAGGGCATCTAACAGCTCTTCATGCATGCATCTGCACAGTGCAGCCTTTCACTAGAGAATGTTTCAGCTCTTCATGCATGCATCTGCACAGTGCAGCCTTTCACTAGAGAATGTTTCAAATGTAGCTGGAGCCAGCATCTTCCCATTTGAAAAATTGGCTCTGAGGTATTGTGGTTAGTGTGCAGCTTCTCAGTTATTCAATCGTATGAGTTGCGAAACTCCCCATAGGCTCCATGTATCAAAATACGAATTTGGCTTTGGCCGAAATGGCTCTCTTAACAACAAAACTAACTATAAAATGCAATATTTTGTTTTTGCCTTTAGCAAGATTGTGAGTGCCGCCGCATTCTCCCAAACAGCATGGCAGTGCATAGAATTTGTTCTTATGAGTTGGTACCCAAGGGTGCGGAACATGTTATTATCTCGCATTGGTGGAGACGTGATAAAGAAGAGAGGAGCTGCTCATTCTCTTGATGCTGTCCTTTTTCGTGTTTTCCGCATTGCGCTAGAAGTAACATAGCTATAAGCGGAGTGTTTGTGTGGTACACAGCATAATGGACAGTGCAGCGAAGTCAGTAGTTTACCAGATTCTTGTGGCGAGCCCACAATGTTTACATTTCGGCAAAATAGTGAGCGGCAAGACGTGATGCAAGCTGGATGCAGCTTGGATCCAGGTTGATCCAACCTGCAAGTCTGTCAACGGCAGCAGACTATGTTGTTCGAGCAGGCAAACGCAGGTGCCATTGGAAAGACTCCACGAACATCGCACCTCAAAAGAAAAGAGAGCTTGCAGTGCTAGTTGCAAGTAAAAGCAATGCTCAATGTTCCCACTTTCTTGTCATCGGGCTTTTATAATTATATGGTATCCCAGCCAGTCTCTCATTGAGTTTGCGATTAGTAAAATTTGACCGCTGCATGCAAGACAAAGCGGCCAATTCGCGGTAAGTACTGATCGGTACGGTTGCGCTTTGATATGCACTCTACCATATCTGTCTTGTGTTTGTGCGACCATCACTCGATCGTGTTAGTGACGCATCAGGAACCGCAGAGCGGAACAGTTGAAAGGATTCGGCAAACTTCTCGTGAGCAATCAGACTCAAGCGCACATTTTCAAACGAGGAGAAATAGAAATAATCAGGGCACAGCGTTAAAACCATTGTAGCACGAAATCGCAAGCACCACCTCCGACGAAATAAAACTTGACGCTTTGACCGGGCTTGACACTTTGACCCGGCTTTAAGGAATACAGTGGACAACAGCGGCGGGCGCCGTATAAGCTAAGGCCATTTCAACGCCAGTGTTGCGTGCGGCGTTTAGCAGCCTAAAGTGCACGCACAAGTGGCGATGCAGTAGTTGGTATTGTCGCTCCCAGATAGTGCGACGATCTGTTCACTTCTGCTAGGTCGGCTAATGGTGTGTCCAGGTTTTGGAACACAGTCTTGCAACTGATATGATTGAATAACTCTACAGCTTCTGACATGCAGGTTGCCGGTTCCATCCAAGCGAAAGTATTGTGAAGGAGACAAAATAAGAGTAGTATTACGTAATTTCAGCGCACAATAAAAGAACATTTCCACTACGGTTTTCTTAATGATTGTATAGTGGATTTGGCAGAAACCCACGGATATAATGTGGAACCTTGATATAATGTGGCACCAAATTTCAGCTCGCCCTACAGAAGCATCGATACCCATATCCTTAGTTTTTCAGTTATGATGCCCAGATTATGCGACAGTATTGCTTGGTCTCGTCAATTGCTGCGTCTCGTCAATTGCCGTATTGCTGTGTTTCCCCTGTTTGACATTAGTATGTGTGCTGGCTATGCTATTGTGTTGCTGGTTTACGAAGCACACCTCGTTGGTTTTGTGGCTCGCACAGTCTTGTCCAGCAACCACTACGTTTTCTGTGTTTGAAAAATATTTCTGCGGAATTGTTGGTTTTGTGCTAGCTTTATGTGCGACAGCAATGCCCAGTGCAATGGGATCCCCATGCTCTGCAGCTGGGGCTCGGGAGGCCAGTCCAATGGTGCGCAGACACAGTCCGGCTGGGGCAGTACCAATGGTGCGGACAGCTCTGGCTGGAACGATGGAGCTGGGGACAACAATGGTGCGAGCACGGCACCCTCAGATGACCCGTGGCAAGAAGACAGTAGTAGCGGGTGGAAGGAGGAGCAGAGTTCAAGCTTTGGGGGAGGCTCGAGCAGCTTCGGCGGTGGGGGCAGTTTCGGGGGTGGCCGTTCCGGAGGAGGAGGAGGCAGCAGAGGTCAGTCTCATTTTTGGTCTCTTATTTTTAACAGCTACGCTGTCAATCTACGTTTTTGTTCTGCCAAAGAAGCACCAGACATGAGCATCGGCAAGGGTTGACGCGAGAGTGGGCATGTCCTCGCCATACCAAAGGTGATGCTCACAGAAATGCAGCTGTCCCATACTGATCCAAAGGGTTCTTTGTCAAACTTGCGTCATTGCTGCGCCACAAGGTGATAAAACCCCTTGCAAGAACAATTGTAACGCTGGGCGGCAGCGTCCATGGTAAAGGAAGAAACGACAACAAAAAGTGTGCGTCCGCAGGGCTCTGTTTTCGTCTACTTCGTCTTCATTTGACAGCAAAGTTCTACGATATCGTCCATCTTGCCACAATCTTATTGTTGGCAACCAAGGCTTCAGCAGCCCGATTCTTCAGTTTTCAATATTTGTCCAACAAAAACTGTGCAAATTGCACGGACACTTGTTTTTGTTTCTATGTCTAGCGGCTTTCTGTGGGAGAGAGTGTGTCAGCTGTACTTGCAGTTGCGGCCGCTGCAGCGCGACGGGGCAGGGACGGGTGGCGGCGGCTCTCTCAGGGAAGCAGCAGCAGGTGGTGGTTGTCGCAATAATGACCCAATCAGTTGTTCTAATCAGTGTTTCTTTTCTCCATTATCACAGTGATGAAATATCGCAGTGATAAAATTTCCGGATCTCTCCACTACGGCGTCTCTCACAATCATATTGTGCAGTTGTATCCAACTGCTCCAGCAAATTAGTGTTCTGGTGTGCATTGGTGCAATTTGACAGCAGTGAGGGCTCTCAAGAGCTGCTTTTGACTCCTCTAGCACAGGTAGTGGCACTGTGCTGTGTCGTGCGCGAATGCACATCTTACTTGTCAGTTTGTGGCTGCAGTGTATGACAAGCACGTGCGTATGTACTACAGCACGCTCCGGCTGGGACAATCGAGGCGGAGGTGGCGGAGGTCGTAACGACAAGCGTCCCACAGGTGGCCGAGGTGTGAAGCGGTAAACGCCATCCGCGCTTTCGCAAACAAACCTCCTTCTTGTGGTTGCTTGCTTGCTTTGTGGGGGCTAACTGGTCTGTGTCTTTTGTCTGGGCTGCGTGGTTGTAGCTGGAGTGGCCTGTCCCCATGTTGCAAGGCTGTGTACATTTCCCGCCTGCCTCCTTGACCTGCTACTTGCCACTTGTACGCTGCACCTGGTTTCACTGCATACCAGTATAGTTTTTCTCCACCTGGTTCTTTAGTCTGCACCAGATCCTCTGTTGTATACTCAGCGACAACTTTTCTTAACACTAAAAGGTGGCGGCAGCTTCTAGACATGTAGCCCTACCCGTAGTTCGTTTTGGCGTGCGTCTAGTAACGTAGTTAAAAGTGACGGGGGCGAACAATCAGCGTTTCATGTAAACGCAGACGCCGCTTAGTGTTTGCGATAATGTAAAAAGGCGGGACTTTCTCGCGCATTCAAAAACGCAGTCGTAAGGAATAAATTATAAAAAATACAATTATCCTACTTGTGTTAGCTGCGCCCTGTCTCAAATAGCTCCATGTAGAAAATAAAGGAGGAACTTTTGTATTTCATGTTAAAAGTTGTGCGGGTGCTGACTCCCTGTAAAGTTTGCACCGAGTGGCGCACGTGTCTCGTGCAGAAGCTGTATTTCAAAGTCAACTATTAAGCGGTAGATGGCGTTGTGTTCGCGAATATCTATCGCCACTATCATCATAGATTGCTAGCGCCGGCGGTGACCCCTGGCGGCTAGCTAGCCTTGGTGGTGACACGTGAGAATTAAGCAAGTCCTTTGCGCGTGGCGTTTGGCGCACACGGCACCGCATGTCGCCTTGAATGTGTTCGTTGTGTTGTTTAGCGTGTTTATCGCAATTGATGTTATAATTTGGCTGATATTATTGTTCAAAATGTATTTAAATAAATGTGTGTTGTTGGCTTAGCTCGTTCAGACTGCGTCGGCTGTGTCGGTTCACCCTAAGAGCGTGGTGCTCTCTTGCCAGTTTGAGACCCTACAAAGCATGGGCGCTAATGTAGAACTACTTTCACTAATGGCAGGATGCACGGGGTTTGGCTCTGTAGCCTTCGCTTCAATGCCAAGAAAAGTTGTCGCAGAGTATAGTGAGCTACTAAGTGTGCTTTGACATCAACTTGGTTTTCTTACTGGCTTATGTGCTTGCAGTGACATGCCTGCATGTGTACGGCACGCTTGCTGCCATCTCTGTTGTCAGGGCTTAGCATTTGTAACTTGCTGCAAGAGCAGAGATTTTCGGAAGCTTGGCACATTTGTCAGACATTTATTTATTTATTTATTTATTAGAATACCCTCAGGGCCCATAGGGCATTACAGAGGGGGTGGGTACAACATATATAACACACAAGAAAAAAAGACAAAATAAAGAAACAAGTATCAGATGCGCAAATCAGGAAGGCAACATAAGTCAACTAAAAATGTATAAGAATTCAAGCACATACAAGACAAAGATAGATAGTGGAAACTGCGTATAGTTACAAGCATTGCTGAGAAATTGCAGTCTTGAATAACAAAGGGTCTGTTATTGATACAACGGATATTTACAAACTTAATCGTGCTTGTTACTTTCACTTTGGTTCGAACCTAAAGTTGACTTTCCTGGAAGTTTTTCTAGTAGTAAAAGGGGAAGGCTGTCTGGCACTGATGCACCTGAAAGCAGAGAGGGCAGCAGGCAAAACAGGGTGTGGTGGTGGTTCTCACAGTGGCTTCTCTTGCAGCATGTTTCAAGTGCAATCAGGAAGGACATATGAGCCGGGATTGCCCAAACGCAGATTCATCAGGCGGTCGTGGAAGAGGTGAGCATGTGTGCGCGCAAGGCTATATAGTGGTATCAGCTGCTGGGGAGCTGTTGTTTTGCCACTCATTTTTTTATTACTGGGTTAATGTTTTTGCATTTCAATCATTCATAAACTTGTAGTCTCCCACTGTATAATAATGTTTTTTTCTATGTTGTGACGATTGCAATGTTTGTGTATACTGCTAAAATTGTGGGTATGATTTATTTTATTAATCCCCTTTAATAATTGTCGTATTGCCATCTCTTAGTAACTTTATGAGAATGGAATTGTTTGTTCAACAGTGTTTCGTTTGAAGAAATATCGTGTCTATGACACTTCGAACGTTATTTTAATGGGTTTTTTTAGGATATTTGTGTTAATAAGTTTTTCCGGCTGTCTTCTAGGCCCCAGTCAAGCTGTTCGATTACAGCTTTTAGCCCAGGTCCTGACCATCCAGAATTTGATATTTAAATTTTTATTTCTGGAAAATAAAAAAATTAGTGAATGAAAAAGGCCCCCCCCCCCCATGATTTTCACTTAATTTGCAGTCATTTTAAGGGGGGACGTGGCAAGTAAAACTAATTTTTTTATTAATGTACTGTTTGTGATGAAATTTGGTGTGTGTATGTGGATGATTGTGAGGATTCCAAATATGAAAACCGTTTTCAAATACCTCTTGTACTTTTTGAGTTACAAGCATAATTATACTAATTAATGCTCTTCACACTTAAAGAGATAATTATTGCTAAATGAAATTATTTTTTCATATTATTATGTTCCCAAAGCATCAACTTGTGCAAAGAAGCTATTAGTTGATTTTTCTAGTTCTTGTAACCATAAATAAAATTTCCAAAACATGGATGTTGTTTTGCGCACACATCGCAGTAATTATAAAATGTGTTCTAAAAATTTTAAATGATGAGTAAGAAGAGAGATAAAGCTTTATTGCACTGCTAAAGGCCTCCTGAGCCTAGTGCAAAAAACGGAACGACTCTATCAGTCTTTGTTAGAAAATGACAGATGTTCTAGCGAAGGCACATAGGCGAAAATCAAGAGTTGAGAAAACTGACTTTGAAAGTTCACTCTTGTTTGGAAGTTCACAACATGCCTAAAACACTCAGAATCCTCCTGGGCAGTAATCCTGAGATGCTGTGGCCTTGGTCTCTGTAGAGCGCAACCCAGTTTTGCGCTTCTTTGTCGTGGAACAATGCGCCTTTTGAGCCCTCTTTACCCTTTTGGCATCCTTTTCGGCTGCTCGCCGCAAAGAGCAGTCTCCTGGATTGAAGCCCAGTTGAGCAGTGATCTCTTGCAGCGCACTCTTGCAGCCACCATTGAAACGGCAGACTGCATCTGCAACTGCACTTTCCACACTTCGAAGGGACGCGAACTGGCTCTTGGACTGGAGTGACCAAATGAGGCTGTTCATACTCTCCACAGCGTTCTGGGCTTTTCCCTGCGCACACCTTTCAAGGAGCTCTTTGTTCGAGAGGCGCTTGTCGATTGGCAGCAGTGCCACTCGCACGTGAGGGGGCAGTTTATGTTTGTGAGGCGGCAGCGGCTCTCCCTTGGCCAATGCCTGATTGTGCGGGCACCAGGAGTCAGTCCTACTTGGGCACAGGTCGTGGTGTGGATCCTGGTCTGTGGATGTTACATGGTAATAAGTGGCCATGATGGCCCTCTCCATGCCAGGAACATCGTTGGGGTGGCTCTTAATGGCCCAGCCATAATAATTCGTCAACTTCTTTATCAGGCCCTGCGTCAGCCGGCCTTTGCCACCCATGCTCAGTCCTCGGCCTTTGGATTTGTGCTCATCAAGAAGGTTGCGCAAGGAAGTGCCCATTCTTTTTTTCACATGGTTCACACACTCCTGTTTCTTAATCACCATGTAGCCATACACCTTGTCTTGCGTGAGGGCAAGGTACGTACGGCTGTCACCGTCGCAGAGCACATTGATGTATCGAAGCTTGTGCTTGGTAAACGATCTTTCAAACATGATCCTAGCTGCTTCTACTTCCATTTGGCCTGCATTAGCATCGGTGTTCTTTTGGCACTGTGGCTTGTGTTTCTCAAGCCACTCCTCATAGTTGTCGTCACCAGGCTTGGGGCCAACAGCACAGCCTTGGCAGTAGTTGGACAGGACACAGTGGTCCAAGACCAAGCCTGTGTACAGCTCGATTACACAGCTCACGCCAATATGACTTCTGTGCCCCCTCGTCATCCACGTGCCGTCGTAAATGACGTCAATGTTGCCTGGCACTCCTCCTAGGTCCTTGTAAATGTCATGCACCTTCTGTGCACTTTCTGCTTCAATGCGGGTGGCAGCTGATGTGGTGGCAGGGTGGCTGTACTTCCTTTGCAGTCTCTGGTAGGACTTGTGGTGCAGTGCTCGATGCGAAATGTCCATCGCAGAAAAAATGTCATTATGGCAGATTGTTTTCTGCCAACTGACTGCACAGCCCTCAAAGCACGCACGTTTACCTCAAAGGGGTTCGTTTTTTGTTGCCCGGAGCACCTCGGGGACGACCACGCACTGTTCACTATGCCACAATTGTCACAAAAAAGTCCCATCCTCGCCGCGAGTCCAAGGCAGTGCGTAGTCTCGAGGCGTATCGACCCTTCGTCGCACTTGTTGCACTTTACTGACGAAAGCAGACCGTTCAGCATCTTCTTATTTACAATGAAGAATGTGGAGTCCTTACCCGCCGTCATTTTCGTCGCAGCCTTCGTTCAGAAGCTCGAGCTTCCGCTTTGAAGCGGACTTCGATGCTACGGCATCCAAAACATCCCGCCTTGTCTGCGCCCGCTGCGCGATTTCTTCACTGCTCGGAATCTGGGCCGAAACTCGCGATAGAATGTTCGACGCGCGCACTCCCGGAGTTGCAACGGCTGCCGACGCGGTGCCACCGCAATCGGGTTCGCGAGAGCGTCCATCACGGTCGACGGCATCCGGCGGTCTGACATACGACGATGTGGCACCTTCCACACTCTCGGCCTCACAACAATCAGCGAAGGGTCTGAGTAGAGGCTCCGTGACGCTTGAAGAGCATGCTCCGTCCGGAACTGCGACTGGGACGGCAGCCGCAGTCGTCTGCCCTTTGTTCCAAGCTTTCCGACGCTTGCCGTACTTGTGGACGCTCCGGAACTTTTTTTGCGACAACATAGCACCGCAGTATGAGCAAGCACTCAGAAGAGACCACCGATGTAAACAAAGCTTGGTAAAAAAAAGCACGCGAACGATCACAAAAACAGCAAACTGGCAAAAACCGAAGCGCACGCCGGATGATTCTCGACACGGCGGCCGCAGATGCGCTCGCGCTTCCAAGGTTGCCAAGGTGCGCGGCGCAGCTTTGACCAGTAAGAGGTCGCGCCTGCTACCACGTGACCCGCGCAGCCAATTGCCGTTCTTCGTTTTCGTTTTTTTACTTGCTCCTCGCGCTTTTATTTTCACTCGGCGAAATACGAGACCGCGACCATCGGGAAGCCGGCTTTCTCCTCTTTCCAAAGCTACCAAAATGGCGGCCCACAGTCAACAACTTGGCGCGTTTGTGCGGCGTGAACAACACCGTTTCAGGGGCTTTTTTTTCGCACTTTTCGGCGACTAGCCTCGGCAAAAACACTATTTGCGGGATTTGTAGCGCACGTTTCGCTGTAATATTTTAGAACAAGGAAGTTGAAGGTCTGAAGATTACGAAAAAAAATAAATCAGAAAATCGCATATTTTGACCAAAATCGGCACTTTACTTGCCGCGTCCCCCCTTAAGGGGAGACGCTCCTCGAAAGTTTTTTTTATTTCTAGTAATAGAGACTTGAAAAGTTTATTAGTATAGTTTTTCATGCAGATTTCAAATATGCAATCATTTTTTGTGTAGCTGCTATAATTATTGAGTTATGCCATAAACAATAGCAAAAAGTTACATTTTTTGCAGGCACTCTTTTATGTATAAACTTTCAGTAAAAGCACTGTGTCTCATCTTATTTGACTCTTGGTAGATTGAAAAGTGCAAATATCTATATAGATATGTCACAGAAATATTGGAACCAAGAAAAAAAAATTGTATTGAATGACTTATTATTTTCAATCTCCCTTGAAACAATAAGCTAATATTTTCACAACTAATGCTGGTAGGCATTGCAATTTAGAGTAGATATTTGCATTCTGCATGTGTTGAAGAATATGTGTGCCAAGTTTCGTTACTATACAATGAATATAAGTTTCTAAAAGGCTGCCCGGAAAACGTGAAACTGTCAGAAAAAATGAAAATGAGAAAAACAAGTTTGAAAGTTCGCAAAGTTGGCATTTATTAGGAAATCATTCTTTTTGCATTAAATTGGGGCACAATGAAAAGTACCTTGCCTTGAATGCACTGCAAGTGTCTAGAAGTCCCCTGCATCATAGCTTGGTCCTTCACGGCTCTTGCGGTCAGTGTCCTCAACACGAGCTCTCTTCGCTGTGTTGCGACGGTGTGCCCTCGCTTCTGCAGTTTGCTTCAGGTTCATCTTCCTGATGCGCATGACGTCACAGTGGTCACCATGTGTGGCCAGATCTTGTGAGGGGAGAATTCCAATGCCTTCGAGCACTTCTTCAAAGCCCCTGTGGCCTTTGTTGTACCAGAATACAGCAAGAGCGGTGGCTGTCTCCACAGTTGTTCTGGAGGCGAACTTTGTTTTTGGACATAGCAGCCATATCTTGCTGTTCAGCGATTCGGCTGCATTCTGTGTCTTGCCATGAAGGCACCGAATAAGGAGTTTCTCCTCTGTAAGGCGCTTGTAGATAGGCATAATTGCCAATCCTTGAGCCTTCGTCAACAGTGGGGTGTGGCGTGGTGCAGGCTCCCCCAGTGCTTCCGCACGCTTGTGCTTGCACCACGAATTTGGTCCCGCGGGGCAAAAGTTGTGGCTACTGGCACCATCACTGGAGCAGCAATGAAAATACGATGCCCATATGACAGTGTACATATTTCGGACACTGTCCTTGTTGCTCGTGATGGCGATCTTGTAATATGTTTGTAGTTTTATTATTGTCGCATCTTTCAGTTTTTCGCCTCGTGGCAGTGGCGTTGCCAATTTTAGTAGGGCAGTTCCCAAGCGCTTTGCAACGTGGTTCGTGCACTCTTCTTTGTCAATGGGGGTGTCACAGTATACATTTGCCTCGCAGACTGTAGTGTAGGCCTTGCTGTCACCATCACTTAGGAAGCTGGTGAATCGCAGTGGAGTTTCATAAGACAAGGTCCTCTGCCATATATTGACAGCTGCCGCAGGTTCCATTGCATGGGATGAGCAGTCAGTGTTTTTTTGGCAAACTGGAAGATGAAAAGCTCGCCATATCTCTTCATCCTCCCCAAGGTCCCTGTGTATACTGCAAGCATGGCAGTAGTTCGAAAGAACTTCAAAATCGAGGCAGAGCCCCGTGTCCAGGGACACGACTGTGCCCACTCCATTGTGGTTTTTATGACCTCTTTTCTGCCAGGTGCCATCAAACATGAATGGCACATCTCTGCCGCCTACTGCGTCCTTTGTGATGTTTCGTGCCTGGTGCAAGTTTTTGCTCACTGCCGTCATCGCCGCACCATGGAGCTTCTTGCAAATGCCGTTGAATGTCTTGTGATGCATCGGGCTCGGAAGACCGAGAATCGCACAAAATCGTGAAAGTTGGTCGTGGCCTGCGCCTATAGCGCGTGCTGCAAGAACTGCCTTCACGTTTACAGCAAAGCTGTCACGCGAGCTGCCGCTGTCAAAACGAGCGCTCGTTCCTTGGTCCCCGGCCGAAGCAGTACGTCTCGACGTGTGCGTGAACGAAAGTGCAGATTCAGGGTAATCAGAATTTTGACAGCACAGTTCGAGGAATGCCGAGAGTCCTTTGCGCTTTCCAGCTGCCTCTCGCACGCCGAGCTTCCGTTCGCGGCATGTTGGGCATTGCGCACCCGCCACAAGTGCCGTCAGCGCATCGATTTCGCAAAGCAGCATGTTCGCAGTAGCAGCATCTACCGGTCTACGTTCACTCTCGAAGAATCCAATCTTCCTTTGGGATGCACTGACGAATTCCACGGCAGCGGCTATTTCACAACCATTGTCGCAGGGTTCGGTGACGGTGTTAGGTCTATCCGAAGTCGGAGCGTCGGGGCGTTGGTCGGGGGCGACATCGTCGTTTGCTGTCGCTTTGCGAAGCGTCCGACGCCGTTTCCCTCGATACTTGTGGCGAGTTCTGAACTTTCGATTATCTGAACTGCACTTCTTCGGGCTTGCCATGACGCAAAAATGCAGAGAAACGCAGAAAAACTCGATCGCGACGTCCGAGGCTTCGCTCTTTTGCCGGAGAGATAGGAGGGGGAGGAGCGTGGAGCGCACCGCTGTCCAATGGCGGCCTCGCGCTGTGTGCCGCAATATTCAAAACGCGTGACGTACGCGTTGTTTTTCGCGTTTTTTGTTTATTCTGCGTGAAGGCACGAGACTGGCTACTAGTGGATTATGAAGGATACGGCCTTCGCAGCATGCGTGCACGATTGCAAATGGCGGCCAACGCGTCGTTTTCGCGACAGGACGACGCGAACTTTGCCGTTTTTCGCGACTTTCGCGCATTTCTCGCGTCACCGCTGCCCACTTGGAAGCATTTTTTGATAATTTCTCGTGCGAATTTCAGCTTGATATTTTCAGAAGTAATAGATTATAGTCCAAGGATGCCAATACAGCCGGAAAAAAAAAGCGGTAAATTTTCCGGAAAACCGCGACTTTTCGATCCGAGTCTCCCCTTAACGTAACGTTTTTGGCACTCAGCTTGAAAGTGGAATGGATGCTTTTATGGGGGCAAACACAGCCTCTCAAGATAATCTGAGACCATGCAATAACTCAACCATGCAGCTACCCAATTCGCTCTGATAGTGTCCACTAGTGAGGCAGCCCCTCTAAGTAGCTCCCCATAATGTTCCGTGGTAGCATATCACTTTTTATGTCCAACTGTTTTGTGAACGGCTTGTGACAGCTTTCACAAGCCAAAAGAGAGGGTGGTGGTGGTGGGGGGGTTCAAAGAGTGGAGGCAGATAGTCTTATCGAATACACTATTCCTCTTTCTAGTAGGAGTGCTTAATGATTTGATAGCCCTTCTCAATGTCGCTTGTGCCTACTTGTCGTTTTTGCAGGCTGCTTCAAGTGCGGTGAGGAGGGGCACATGAGCCGTGAATGCCCTAAGGCAGACTCTTCTTCGGGGGGTGGAGGCCGCTCAGGTGGCAGAGGTGAGAACGGTCTTACTAAGCAGCTGTGCATAAGCCACCCTTGGGTGTTAAAGGGTGGACGCGGCTTTGGTATTGCGAAAAATGGCAAAAGTATTAAGATAATGGTGTTTTTATGTTTCTCAGACACTCTTTTCTTGTGCCCGATAACTGAAGTGCTTAAAAGATTCAAAAGTAACTTACCGAAACCCCCAATACCGAAACCCAACCGCGTGCGCTTTTACGTGTGACTGCAAGATTTGTCTGACGCTACCGGAACCTGCCTGATTGCGCATAATGCCTGCCAGGTGGCACTACCTGTCCACAGCAGTCAGTGGCGGTTGGCTAAACCGCTTACGCTGTTACGGTGAATATATGGCGAATCGTGTGTGCCTTACAACGCAACATCACTTGGCACCTATCGCGCGCCTACCAACACAGAAAAGGTGATCACACGCTCATCCAAGGAAGCTGCCGTCTAAAGCCGCACAATCCATGGCAGACGAGCAGACGCTGCAGTGGCACAACAGTTCGTCCCTTCCGCCAGGCAAAACTCTTCACGCACACAATGTTGCCATTAAGTCTTACAAGTGATGTGAGCGTTTCGAGGCAAGGTGTAAAATTCATTTGAATAGACTGCGAAACGCTCAAACCTGCAACTTAGCATGTATGGCGCCAGCGTGCAAATAAACGCACCCAGTGAATTCCATTGAGATCCACAATCGCCGGAGTTTGCCTTTAAGCTCATCAGAAAGAGCTTTTCTCCCTGTTCAAATTTTCCGCCTCAGCTGGCTCTTCCATTTTAAAACAAGCGCTCAAAAAGCAGATATTTGAAAGTCGTTTCGAAGTCCCTGATTGGCTGTGGCCGCCATGTTGCCCCAGCTAACCTAGCCATTGGCCTGATGCTCGCTTCGGGAGATAGCCGTCTGCTGCTTGTGCGCCGCGAGGAACATAACTGTCAAAAATCACTTCTTCGAGACGTGTTCGCGGCTCTGCGGTCACGGTTTAGTTAAGAGCTGTAAGCGGATGCAAGATTGATTACTAGAAGCGGGCAACTGCAGCTCCAACCGCAAACAGCTGAAGCATGGCACTGCTTAGGTGCCAAAGCCCAGATCATAGAATGAACATTGCTATTCTGGGTTTTACCTCTTTGGCACCTTTCTAGAAGCCCTTTATCAGACAGGCGCTCATATACTGGCAGAAGAGCCTTGCATACATGTTGAGGCCAATTGTAATGGTGCCTCGGAGCTGGCTTCCCTATGGCAGCAGCTGCGTTCTGCCTGCACCAAGAGTCTGGGCCTGTGAGACACAGGCTGTGATTCGACTATCATTAGAAGTGACGTGATAACTCTCCATCACATCTCTGTGCATGGTGTCAACATCTCCTTTGTGAGATTTTAGCGCCCTGCCGTAAAAAGAACTCAACTTAGTGATTAGGTCCCCGGTGAGCTTTCCCCTTCCTCCAAGGGTTTCACAGGCACCTCCTTTTTGTGTTGATACTAAATTGCGTAGCGCAGGGCTCATACGCTTTTGGACGTGATTGACACAGTCCTCCTTTTGTACTTTTATGAAACCGTAGACATCCACTTCTTGCAAAGCTAGAAAGGGGCGGCTTGCGATCTTTTTTTGTACCATTTTTTTGGCACACGTGGCTGTCCTGCCAAGCCCAATATGCCGGTTCGTCTTCATGCTGTCCACGCTCATACCCGGCACAGTAGTTGCTTGAAACCACGTAGTCCAGCACTAGGCCAGTGAAGAGCTCGATCACTGCCCCCACGCATATGTGGCACGAGTGCCCCCGCGTCATCCACGAGCTGTCGTACAAGACTGCAATACTGTCTGCATAGTCAATATGCCTTGTACAGCTTGCGAACTGCACTTGCCCATCACTTTTTCCGCCGCACGATTAGCTGCAGGTGTCAATTTTTGCTTCGCATATTTCTGCCACATTTTCTTGTGAAGTCCGCGATGAGATATAGATATATTCATGGTCGAAAATATATCATTCATAGCCGCTTGACGGTTCCCAGCAGGCTGCATGGCTCGAGCGGTGAGAATATTGACGGTGAACGAATTCACTTTCTGTGCGCCATCCACTCGCGGAGAGCTCCACGCTTGCGCGATGTCGCCACAGTTCACGCAACGCGCACACATATTCACGGCAAGGCCGTATTGCCTGTCCTGTCTGTGAATACTGACAATTCCGTGGCAAATTTTAAATCTCATGGCATCGAGCAGTTGACCGATGCAGCCAAGATCGGCGATCAAAAAACTTGCCTCCTCTTCGCTTTGCTCAGAGGGAGCTGTGCCGGCTAGTGCATCATTCCTCAAAAACTCAAATTTTCTCTTCGACGCGGCAATCGATGGCAGTTCCTGCAGCCTCGAATCGGCCTTTGTACGCCTTACCTGCAGCTCAGATTCCGTTAGCCAGGTTGTGTCACGGCGGACGCGGCCGCTGCTTTGCGAAGCGTCGGTGGCCGGCGGACCCACTAGGCCTAACTCCCCGTCGACTGTCTCGGGCGCCTCGGCGATTCCTTTGCCGTCGGCAGATGAGATGGCGGTCGTGGAGTCTCAATGGGCGCAATGTTCATTTGCACATTTCGATGATGGATGTGCCGGCTAAGCGTCAGGTTTGGGAACATCGCAGGCTGGCGAGGACGTCAAGCTTGCGTCGGCAACATCGGCGGGCGACCCATCCCGTTCTTCGTTGACGCTACTGGCCAAGAGATGCGCCTTGAAGTTGTTTGCCTGAGCCTTTCTTCTTTTTTTTTACCATACTTATGACGGGTGTGAAACTTTCACGATGATCTCGGCATTGCAACAACTTCGATCGCGAGCATGCTGTCAAAGCACAGGTGGTATAGCGGCACAACACGTTCGCACGTTGTTGATGCGCTGAGCAGACGATGCGAGACCAATCAGCCAATGAAGTGGCCACCTCATGGTCACGTGCACTCAACAACCAATAGCATCGCCTACATTGCTTTATTTGGTTGCTTTTGTTTTGGCAACCAATGAGCGCAGCAAGGTTGTTTAAGCGGGAATCGGAAGATAAAGAAACGTGCTCTCAAAGGAGACCAAGATCGCGGCTATGGCATTCGGCAAATGGTAGCTCTGAGTCGCGAAACAGTGTTTTTTTTTTTTTCACAAAATTTTGCGCAAATCGAGCTTGCGAGTCCTCTTTGTAATGATATAACAAGTAGATTATTGCTTTCTGGAGTCAAAATTGGCAGGCAGGTGTAAAAATACAGATAACTTGATTTGAAATCCAGATGCCTGAGAAGTCATAATCACAAGACAAACCAAAGATCACAATATTTAGGTGTTTTAGAGACGTAAAGAGGAGGGATCGCGAGAAATGGCAAAAAAATTGATTTTTGAAACTGAAGTTTTCAGTTTCTGGAACCCCTTTTCTATCTGGTTCCAAAATATCTACACTGAAAACCGCGCAGAAGTGCTTTAGAAAATTTGTTTCACCCACCTAGGTAGCAAAACTTCTTCTGGAAATAACGAGAAAACTGAGATTTAAAAAAAATTATAGCTTCGCGATGCTTGGGCCGGGAGCCGGCTTCGTGGGCTCATTGGAAAGAGCATTTCTCAGTGTTTAACTTTCCCGCCTCAATGGCTCCTCCCTTTAACAACAAGCGAGCAAAAAGCAAATGTTTGAAGGTCGTTTTGAGGTCCTTGATTGGCCGTGATCGCCATGTTGCCTCAGCTCGCCTCGTCAGTGGCCCGATGCTCGCTCCGGGAGATCGTCGTCTGCTGCTTGTGCGTCGCGAGGATATGGCTCTCGAAAATCGCCACTTCCTGACATGTTCACGGCTTGATAATCACTTAAGATATAATTACGCTTTAGTTACGAGCAGTAAGCGGATGCGTGATCAGGTTACTACGAGGGGGCGCACGGTCTACCAGCGCCGCGCCTCATCGGAGTCTTCTTTAGCCCTAACTCCGCCGACAGCGAGACTGCAGGCAGGAACGACGCGCTAGCGCATTCGTGGCGACGTGCTTCTTCGCAAGCAACGAAGCTGTAAGCGGCGGCACAATCCGATTACTACGAGTGGCCGCACTGGATGATTACTACGAGTGGCCGCACTGGGTGCACGATCTGATTACTACGAGTGGCCGCACTGGATGCACGATCTGATTACTACGAGTGGGCGCGCGGTAGTCTACGAGTGCGGCGCGTCATCGGAGTCTGCTTTAGCCCTAACTCCGCTGACAGTGAGACTGTGGGCAGGAACGACATGCAAGCGCACCCTTGGCGACGTGCTTCTTCGCAAGGAATGTACCACATCACTCGCTAACTCCTCTGAATCTCGTACGGGCATTTCACGCATCTGCAGGGGACAACACAGTCAAATCAAGCTCGTCACCCCTCCCCCCCCCCCCTTTTCTCTGCCATGGATTGCTCGGAACAGCAGCTAGCAGTTTCGCGCGTCGTCATTTAGAAAATGCGATGCCAAGTGCAGTGCACGCTGATTTTTTTTGTCATTGTAGTTACGCATTTCGCGCATCGTCATCAAACGCCGCCGGCAAGTGCATTACGCGCTGGCTGCATTGTCCACGCGGCCGCGCACCCCATCACGGTCATATGGAGTGCTGTCAATTAGCTTTTGTGATGAAATTCAGACGTGCATGGAGCCTTGCTTGATACCGCCACGAACGTCTATGGATGTTCAGAGGTTAATGAATTGCTGTAGATTAGTTACCGCGACCGGCTGTATGACGATGCGTTTCACGGCTAGAGCAGCGAAAGAGCATGTATGAATCAGGGGCACGAATTTTTATATGCCCGTTTCGTGTCATTAATTATACTGCTAGAAATTCCTGTGCCACCAGTCATCTGCCCATAACTTTATTTGGAAAGAAGGCATAGGCCGTCATGGTGTGATCCATTTTCCTGATGCAAGAAACCTCTCTCCAAATAAAGAAAAGTTCAGTGAATATTTGTAATCAAGTACTTAATCACGCTAATTACAACTTCAGCACAAAAAATATGTGTAATAATTTCAGTATATGGT